GTGGGTGATAGTAAGTGCGGACCACAGAGCCAGGAGCAGTGCGGAGAGCAGGTCTCACATCGTTCCTCCACATCCCCGGCAGAGCCACCTGTGAGGATCCTGCACCCTCCACAGCGCTCGCTGGAGCTGCCGGTGCGGGCGCCGGGGCGTGTGGAGCTGCGGTGCGAGCTCTCCGTGCCGGATGCTCCTGTGCGCTGGTTCAAGGACGGGCTGGAGGTGGACGAGACCGATAACCTGCTGCTGCTGGCAGAGGGGGCCTGGCGCTGCCTCCTCATCCCCAGGAGCAGCGCGGAGGACACGGGCGAGTACATTTGCGAGAGCAAGGATGAGGCTGTCTCCTTCGACGTCAAGGTGTCAGGTCAGCAGGGACCCAGGAGCAGGGAAGTGCTGGTGGGGCTCCGGCTACAGGGTCTTTCCCAGCCTGGGAGAGGGGGACCGGCTCCTCCATAGTGACGGAGCCGGTGGGTGCCCATCCCCCTGCAGCTAGGCCACCCAGCACGGGTGCTCACCTGGGGCTGGCAGCAGAGGTGTCCCCAGGGCCACGTTGTCCTCGTGCTGCTTTGCATCGCAGCCACGTTGCCCTTGCAGAGCTGCCGGTGAGGATCCTGCAGCCTCTCAGACCTCCCCCCGTCGTGACGGGGTCCCCGGGGGGGGCGTTGGGGAAAAAACGCAGACGCGCCCGTGCGCTGGGCCAAGGAGGGTGTCAGGCTGGAGGCTGGGGGCAGCCTGGTGCTGGAGGAGGAGGGTGCCCACCGCCGCCTGCTCATTCCTGCCGCCCGAGCTGAGCACTCCGGAAAATACGTCTGCGACGCCACTGACGACACAGTGACCTTCACCGTCCAAGTGCTGGGTGAGCAAGAGTCTGGAGGAGAGCCTGGTGGGGGGTGCTGGGTGCATGGACCCCAGGGAGGCCGGCTCTGTCTGTGTTGGGTGCTGCAGACCCACTGGTCAGGATCCTGGAGAGGGACGTCCTGCCAACCAGCCGGAACTGCCAAGCCATGGAGGACGTGGTGCTGGAAGTGCACCTCTCGCACGCCCACGGGGAGGTGAAGTGGTACAAGGACGGGGAGAAGCTGCAGGACATGGGGCGCGTGCGGCTGGAGGAGGATGGGGCGCGCCGGTCCCTTGTCATCCTGGGTGCCACAGGCAGGGATGCGGGGGAGTATCTCTGCGACACCGGTGACGACAGCATCGTCTTCTGCGTCACTGTGGAAGGTGAGAGGGAGATCCTGGGGGGGGATGGCCAGTGGGACAAGGATCAAGGCAGTTCCCGGGGTGCTCTGCCAGGCTGGCGTGGGGCTGGGGCGGGTCGCAGCAAGTTTGGGGGTGCTGGTGTTTGGGGGACAGACAGCTGGCGGGGACAGACACGCAGGGGCTCTGTGGAAACCCCGGTGCTGCCCAGCTGCAGCCAGGGGAGGTCCGGACGGGGTCTGGCCATTGCAGCACCCAGCATGGGTTGCTGCTCCAGCAGTGACAGCCCATCTCTCCAGCCCCAGAGCCGCCGGTGACCTTCGTAGGTCACACAGGC